CTCCTGGGAAAAAGTCGTGGGAGACTGGGTTGACAGGAACACCATGTCCCATTAACAGAAGCACGGGGTCCAGAGAAGAGGAGGAAGCAGTGCCTCCGAGCTCTGGGCTGGTCAGACCCAGGCTGGAACGTTGGGTTTGGTGGTGGGTGCTGTGCTTCTGGGCACCTGGAGTTGGGAGCTGACCCAGAGAAGGGAGCTAGGCTGGAGAAGGGTCTTGGAACCATCAATAAAGAAATGGCTGAAGGAACTGAAGATGTTTGACCTAGAGGGGACATTCATTTGGGGGAAATACCCAATTTCTTGACTCTAGGGACAGGGAGCAATTTCTTTCACTGTCCATGTGCCAAAGACAACCGGTGCCCTCCTCCTCCACAGCCCACATTTCTTTAGACGGGGGGTGGGGATAAGGTTGATGGGAGTGGGGTCAGGCTTCCTGCCTGTCAATAAGATGGCCAGGGGAGGGGTCTGGTCCCAACGGCTAGCAACTTGTAGGTCACCTCTTGTCCTCAGCTTTGGGCTTACCCCCGAATCCTGAACAGTTGGAAAAGTAGCTTGTGCTTCCATCCCGTTAGACATGATTCCTCTCGTCAATGATTTGAAGGGTCGACGCATGATAGATGGATTTTTTTTTTTTATTCCCAGGGATTGTAAGTAGCACCTGTGGATGGAGTGTTGTGGAGGCAGGTGACCTTTCAGGAACTTAAAGCTGTTTGAAAATGGAGTGCCTTGGGAGGTGGTGAGGTCCCCATCACTGGCAGTCCCCAAATAGGAGGTACTGGAGGGGGTTCAGGCCCCTGGTGGGGACTTGAACCAGATGACTGGGAAAGTTGCTTTGGAAGCTTAAGCCTGAGAGATTGCATGAGTTTCATGGCAGCACACTCAACAGGAAGATGCTTTTGCAGATGCCCAGTAAATGTGGCTTCTTAGACATTGCCCATGGGCTCCTGTAGCTAACAGAGGAGCAGGAAGCCCTAACATGTCTGTTTGCCTTCCTGCAAGGCTGAACTCCAATGACGAGTGAATGAGGCACGTTGATTTACCTCTCACACATGTCTGTGTTAATTTCCTAAGGCTGCCATAACAAATCATCACAAACCAGTTGGCTCAGAACAACATAAATTTATTGTCTCATAGTCCTGGAGGCCAGAAGTCCAAAATCAAGATGTCAGCAGGGCCACGCTCTCTCTGAAACCTGGGTAGAACCCTTCCTTGCCTTGTCCTAGTTTTGCAATCCTTGGCATCCCTCAGCTTGTAGACGCATCACTCCAATCTCTGCCTCTGGCTTCACATGACCTTCTGCCCCATGTGTGTCTGTGTCCAAATTTCCCTCTTCTTGTAAGACCATTGGGTCCTTGAATTTAGGGCCCACCTCATCTGAACTTGATTACATTTTCAAGACCCTATTTCCAAGTGAGGTCACATTCACAGGTACCAGGACGCACAGTTCAACCAACTACAATGCCCATTCTTTCAGTCTGTGCAGGAGAGCGTGGTGTGGAAGGAGGAAAGGAGAGAAGAAAGGAAAGGACGGGGTTAGTTAGTGGAAGCGCCTCTGCCAAGTGCACGCATTCAATGTATCTCTGAGCATAAGTCCATGCAGTGGCCCCACAGTGTGTCCACACAGCCCCCGGAAAGGGCAACGTCTATTTCTGTGGTATAGTTGAACTGACAAACCATATGCAGCCACTAAAAAGAATGTGTAAGAAGTGAGTTAATATGTTGGACAGTGTAATTTCTATTTACAATTTCTAGCAAACATAAAACAGCACCCTAATGTGGAGGAAAGGTTAGCAAAATATATTGGTGGGGCATTTGGAGCAAACGTGTCTGTGTGCAAGCTAATGTTTCAAAACCTGAGCTTTGCTTTCAGGTTGAATATATAAATATATGGCTTCCTCATTTCTGCCAAAGCATATTTTTCTTTGAGCATTATCAGTATTGGAGCAAGCTTTATTCCCCTGGTCCCTATGCCATTTCCTTCTAGGATTTTCAGCAACTTTTGGATTAATATCAACTCATGTTTTTTTAATAAACAAAAGTTTTTTTTTTTAAGTTAAATCTATAGGTATTGACCTGGAGAGATGTTTGTACATGTTGCTAAATGAAAAAAGTGGGTTACAGAGTAAGTGTATAATTCTATTTAAAAAATGGGTACAGCCATCCTTGAAACCTGTTTGGCAGCCCCTTATAAAACTAAGCATGCAGCTATCATATGACCCAGCAGTGGCCTCTGGGTGTTCATCCCAAAGAAATGAAAACTTAGGTTCACCCAAAAACCTGTACATGAATGTTCAAAGCAGCATTATTAGAAATAGCTGGAAACCACAGATGTAACAGCTGGAAACAATCCAGATGTCATAAACGGTGGTACATCCATGCCATGGAATATTACTCTGCAATAAAAAGGAGCAAACTATTGATACGTACAACAACTGGGATGAATCTGGAGAGAATTATGCTGAGTGAAAAGAGCCAATCCCAGAAAGTTACATGCTGTAGGATTCCATTTCTAGAACATTCGAAATGACAAAACTACAAATAGAGAACATCTTAGTGGTTGCCATCTGTCAAGGAGGGACTGGGGGTGGAGGGGAGGTGGATGTGGCCATAAAAGGGCAACATGAGGGATCCTCGGTGGGTAGAATATTCTGTGTCTTGACTAGGAATGTCGGCGTCCTGGCTGTGATACTATAGCTTTACAAGATGTCACCATGGGAGAAACTGAGTAAGGAGTATCTGGGATCTCTCTGTACCGTTTCTTATGACTGCGTGTAAATCTACAATTATCTCCAGTAAAAAGTTTAATTTTTAAACAATAAGGGGGAACCTCACTTACGTGTCCCTGTGTAGGTGTGCACACAGACAAGCATGTGGGAAGATACACAGCAGGCTGTTGACCGCTAGAAGACGAGTCTGAAGAGAGAGATTGTTTACTGTTTCTTTTTCAACTTCTTGCTGTTTGACGTGTTCTAACAGGCATGTGCGACTTCGTGATTTTGTTTAGACCCATGAAGTAGCCCAAAACATTGGTAGGGGAGGAAAACAGCAGAGACCTCCGCCCAGCCCACCCACGCCTGGAAAATGCCTGCTCTGTATCTCCACGAACATCTCAAATCTGGGATGTGGGAGCCAGGAGGGAGGCGGGGGCGTGGCTGGCTCACTCAGGCCTCTGTGTGCCCCCACCTCCGGCCATCCTGACACCAGCTGCTCTTTCCACTTGCTATTAACCCTTGGGGTTCTCTGCCAACTCTGCCACTCACGAACGAGCGAGGACCCGTGGAGAAGAGGGTGGGTGATTTCTAGATCCAACAGCAATGAACCTCCTCTGAGCCATCACCATGGGCCAAGAATCAGCAGTGCCTTTCAAGTCTTATCTCGTGTGATTCTCCTGAGACCCCCAGGAGATAAGGCCTATGGTTATCCCGATTCTACAGATGAGGAGACCGAGGTGGGTAACTAAGTTGTTCATGCCTGACCTGGCACAGAGAACACTTCCAGCATGTACCACTCAAAGCATCACCTCTGAGACCCTCACTCTGTCTCCCACCACCCCTGACCAAGCCCAGCCCTCTGCCAGTGGCCCTCGAGGCCGTGGGCCTTCAGGATGCAGGATCCTGATCAGCACCCCAGCTCTCTGGAGGCTGCAGCTAAGGAACCCGGCAGAGGGGACAGCTTGGAGGCAGCTGGTGAGCCAGCTAACTGTAAACAAGTGGAGAAGCAGTGTGCCCCGAGCTCGTCAGGGGCCTCCTGATTGACGTCCCCAGAGAGGGGTGCTGGTCTGGCACAGGACCTGCTTCCCACATTGTGCTCCTGACCCAGAGGTCAGGCCAGGCTGCAGGAGGCCAGCGGGACACTCGGCAGCAGCTGCAGAACAAAATTCGCCCCAGTTGGAAACAGCCCCAGCCCCAGCCATGTGGGGGTGTGAAGATGAGCTCCTTGCAGGAGCAGGAGGGCTGACCCCGGGGGTGGGGATTGGCTGGCAGGGCAGGGCCTGACACGCTGTGCGCATGTGTCCAGGTCTGTGCTGGGCGTTTCCAGACTGCAGGGGAGCAGGGGCTGGGAGAGCTGGATGGAAGATTCTGGAAGGGAGGACTGGCCTGTCCTCCTGCAGTTACTAAACTACCCAGGGTGTCCGGTCTCCCACCCTGTGAAGGCTACTTCTCAGAATGGGGAGGGGAAACCAGGCAGGAGACGGTCTCAGCCTTTCGGGAAGTTTCTATGGCTCCACGTTCTCTTCCTACCATCACTACCATCACACTGAGTGAAGGGGTCAGAATCATCTTGCCAACTCTGTGTAATCAGGCTTGTACCTTAGGAGGGAGTAACCATAACTGTGTGTTTGAGAGAGAGGATAAGACAGACAGACAGACACCATGGGGGCAGATTCCATCCTGACTTACCTGACCCACAGCACCCCCTACACGGCCACCAGCCCCCTCTGCAGCCCCAGCCCCTCTCTCTACACAGGTTCTTCTATGCTGTTCTATTTCATCAGATGACTCAGAACCCAACCACAGAGCTTCCCTTCCCTCCCCAAACACGCCAGGCTCCCACCCCAGCCCTGCCTTTTCATGGCTTCCTCCTCTGCCTAGAGGCTCCCCAGAAACGCCAGGCTTCCCCTCCTGTTCCCAGTGGCATATTCTTTGTCATTTGTCAAGACTTGCCTCTGTAGTCCCCCTGGGTCGGGGGCTCGCACGTCCTGCTTGCCCAGGGCAGTTCCACTTGATGCCTCTTGTCCCTGCGTATTATTGATGGTGTGCTCTTTCACCCTCTCGGGTGTCCAGACAGGGACCATAGATGATATGGTCACCTGTGGGGCACTGTGCAGACGTTCTCTGTGTGTGTGCCCATCCCCCCACCAGACCAGGGACACCTGAGCGGCCTTTCTTCTCTCTCGGGGCCCGCGCAGAGCCTGGCACACGCGGTAAACGAGTCTGGGATAAATGGACGCATGAACCCGTGGGACATTTACAGCACTCTTTTCCTCTTGTTCCCTCCAGGGATCTATAAAGGGCACTGCTTCCGGATCAATCACTTCCCAGAGGACAATGATTATGACCATGACAGCTCTGAGTATCTCCTTCGTGAGTGTCAAGAATCCTTCACTTCCTTTGTGTGCGGAGGGGGGTCGGAGGTGGGGAGGCGGCTGGAGGAAAGACTGACCGTGTCGGGGTTGGAAGGGCTGCTTCTCGTGGCTGCTCTCATCACTCCCTTTCTGAATCAGAAATGGTTAGTTCAGAGGATGGAGTTTTGTTCATCGCCACCATGTCATGCTGGGTACCCAGTGGAGTTACTTGGCTGATAGACCCATGTCCAGGGAGACTGAGGCCTGGGAGGAGCGGATGCGGGTGTGGGCATCCACTGTCCAAGGCTGCCAGGCGTGGCCGCCTCGGAGGAGCTGATTGCTGCAGCTGGGCCTGAGGCAAAGAGGGTAAGGACATAGACTTCCCATGTGACCATCCTTGGGGGTCTGCACCCCAAGCACAGTGCCCTGCCAATGCTGGACCAGCCTGCCCCGCCCCACACACACCCCGCTTCTGTTCTTGAAAAAGCAGATTAAGTCGCACGCTAAGACAGCCTGGCAGGGTGCCAGGCAGCCTGTGGGAGAAGGCGAGGAAGGTCGCAGGAGCAGCCTCTGACATGTGGGCCTTCAGTGTTTTCAGCACCAACCGGTGGAGCCACCACCTCTGCCCATGAGCTGCCCCTGGAGCCCCTGCTCCTGCCGGGTCCCGTGGCGGGGCTGGCCCCGGACTGGAGCCTGGAAGTCACAGCCTGCGCTGAGCCCCATAGGACAAACCCAGCCCCACGCCCTAAATCCGGATCTCATCCCTGGGGCCCAGGAGGAAGGATGCAGGCACAGCCAGGGGAGGAGGCTGGAAATGGAAACAACAGCACCATTTGGAAATCATTGTCCCCTTTCACATCAGCCAGGACACATGCGGAGCTGCTCCCAGCAGCACCCCCAGCGGCTCAGGCCGGCTTCATTTATGGAGAATCGATACCAGTGTCCTCAGAGGAAGTGCAATTCACTCTGCACCTGCTCATGGATCGTTTTTTCCTAAGAGAAAGGGTTTGGGTTCTGAGTCATCTGATGAAATAGAACAGCGTGTGGTTCCCATGGAATATGTGGCAGTGTCAGGCTGCTCTGGCCAGGCACAGAACCTGAAATAATCTGGCCACATGTGCCTCCCTCCCGCCTGTCCTCTCTTTCTGCCTTCTGGGCACCAACACTGAACCAAGCAAATGGTATTCCACAGGGCCGCCACAAATGGTTGTTCGGGTTGCACACTGCAATAACTCGAGTGATGCCACTTGCATAGACTGGTATAAATGACACCCTTCCAGTTGTACAGTGTGTAGCCTACACAGCCTTCTAGGGCGGCCCCTGGTGCTCAGCCCAGCTGGGATGGCCCAACTGAAAGTCAACTCTGACTCCGAACCTGCCCTTCTCTGCCCACCCAGGACAAGCAGGTGGTTCTTAAGGCTCTGAGGGTAGATTTTCCACATTGACTAACCCGGGGTCTGTGAGGAAGGAGGCACTGGAGAAACAAACCATTCCCTCTCCATTTCCCACTTGAACTTGCCTGAGGTTATGGACATTGGTGCTGGCTCTTCCTCTTTACTCCCCTGCCTCTGTCCCCCTCGTGGTCCCCAGAGCTCTGGGATCTCTTTCTGGATTGGCCTCATGATGCATCAGCCCAGAGGTCAGATGATGTGGCTTCCTGAGGTCCCAGCGGGAGGCAGATGCCTCCTCAGACGGGGCGAATGAAGGGCGTTTGGGGAAGGACTCTTTACAAAGCTGTAGGCAAGGTTAAAGGCAACTGGCAAGGGATGGTGAGCACCCCAGGGCTGGCCATGGCAGGAGCCCTTACACACTGAGGCCTGAACAGGTGAGAGAGGCAGATCTGGGGACCTGGAGGAGGGGAGCCGTAAGGACAGGGCAGACTGGCAGGAGCGGTGGCATTTGTGAAGGAATGCGGCCACCTCATCTGCAGCCCGCAGGAAGGACGCCAGGGGAATAACTGTCTCACCCGAATTCTCCTCCCAAAGCCGGAGTCGAGGGAGCCCGATGATTTGGTCCATGGCGGCAGCCTCCCAGGGCCCTGAGTAGGATGGAGAGAGGCGGAGGGAGGATCTGGAGGGGCAAACCAAGAGTGTGCTGTGCCCTTGTCCGTCCAGGTTTAGGCTCCTGCTGTCCTCAAACCCCCCAGCGGTGCCCTGGGAAGGGCGTGAGGGCCGAGAGGGCCCAGCAGTGATTTTCCCAAATAAAATGATGGTGACAGCACAACAGCAGTTAAAGCTCATTTGGGAAGGAAATGTTCTCCTCCAGTGTAGGCTGTGGGGAGACCAGGTTCGTTAACATGTCCGAGGAAGTGGGGGATGCGGGCTTCAGGGCCTGTGATCTCCAGATTCCGGTGGAATTGGGGTGGAGGGCAGAGCTGACCCTCCAACAAGGAGGTGTTTTTCCACTATGGGGCTGCAGAAACAGGCAGAATTGGCCCAGAAACTGAGCTCCAGAGTGCAGGTACCTGTGAGCTTGGAGCCAGAGGGACAGGCCAAGGTGACAGTCACTACGGCCATCAGGCCTGCGTTTCCCAGTATTGGTCCTCTGGTCTCTGTCCAGACTATTGATCCCGAAAATATGGAGAAGCACAGGATAGCGAGCTCTGGGGGCTGATGTTTGCAGGAGAAGAGGGTTCATGAGAATTTATTTATTCACTTATTTAACAAAAAGTTACTGTGGGCCTACTATGTGCCAGGCACTGTATTAGGCACATGGGATACAGCAGCGAACAAAACAGAGCTCTGCCCTCCTGCTGCTGACATTCTGGTGGAGAAGATCACAGAAGGTTCCACGGAGAGAGCCTGTTGGAGCGGCAGCTTAACCATCCGGGCGTGGGGTGCCAGCCCACCAGCTATGCTTCTCACACCTGCCTTCAACAATTCAAGCACAAAGTCAACCCCCCAGCCGTACATTCTGAAGGCTTCTAGAGAAACCAGGCTTGCATTGAGTTATGTCATTGTCACAGGGCTTCCTGATGGCCTCCGGGCTCTGGCGATGCCCCGCTGGTTTGTGGATCCACAGGCAGGTGTGGGGTTTGCGGGGGTCACCACTGCGCACCCTGCCTCCCGTTTCTCTTGCACCGGCCCACTGGCCCCAGGGGTTCCCGTCCATCTTGCTCTGGGCCTGGAGCCTCTTTTCCAGGTTCCACGTTTCCGGTTAGGTGGATGATTTCTGTGCTAAGCCTCAGAGTGATGGTGTCAGGGCTGCTGGGAGTCCACGGTGTGCCTGAGGGCAAGTTAGAAGGAGGTGCCAGCCTGGGTTTGATTTGGCCACAGGGCGTGGGCTGGACATCAGCCCCGCTCATCCCTCAGCTCTGTGCAAGAGCCAACCTGCACCGCTGGGGCAGCTCGGCCCTGGGCCTGTTCACTGGGTGCACCCCGGCTGGCGTCTGCACATCCAGAGCTCCGGAATGAGCCCATGTGGCAAAGACAGGTGCTCATGTGACTTATCTGGGCAGGATGGGTGGCTCTGAGCCAGGCCCCACCTCAGTGACCTTAGAGACACTGGGCTCCCTTCTCTCCGGCCCCACTGACCTGTCTGCAGAACGGGGGCATCGAGGGGGACCTGATCCCGGCTTTTCTGGCCAGCGCAGCTCAGAGGCACGTTTCAGAAGCCCGCAGGAAACCTCCTCCCAGAGCCTGCGGCTGCGAGAAGGCAGAGAAGGAGGAGGTGCCCGAGAGAAGAGCTTCATTTAATGCCCCAGACAAACCCCTCTCTGTGAAGCAGGGGCACACACTGGTGGGCTTAGAGAAAAGGAGACAAACGCCGCCTTCACTGGCTGAAAGGCCGCAAATCAGCTCAGCTGGCTCAGGAGGTTGGCGCCTGCCAGGGCTCCCAAGTCGCTGTCGCCTGCCGGGGCCCCCAAGGGTCCACACAGCCGGGATTTCTGCCAGGCTGGGAGACCTGCAGGCGCGTTGGGAAGACCGAGCTTGGGGCTCCTCCTCATGCCCTTTTCCCTTCCTCCTGCCCTTCCTCCCAGCCAGATGCTGAGGAGGGGGGAGTGCAACCCATAAGCCCCTACTAAGTGCTTTCTATGCCTCATCCCATCAGATTCTCACACCAACTCTTGCAGGTAGTATATTCTCTTCCCAGGGCCACCGTCATAAGTTACCACAAGCTGGGAGGCTTAAAACAACAGAAATGTACACCCTCACAGTGTGAAGGCCAGGAGTCTTCAATGAGGTGTCGGCAGGGCCGTGCTCCCTTCAAAACCTCCAGGGGAGGATCTTTCCTTGCCTCTTCCAGCTCCTGGGGGCTCCCGCGCTCCTTGACTTGAGGCTGCCTAACTCCTTTCTCTGCCTCCATCTTCACACGGCTTCTCTCCGTGTGTCTCCTCTTTTGCCTCTGTCTTTTCCTCTTCCTATAAGGGCATGCATCATTGGATTTAGGGCCCACCCTAATCTAGGACGGTGTCATCGCGAGATCCTGAAGCTAATCACATCCTCAAAGAACTTCTTTCCAAATGAGGTCACGTCATTTGGAAATAACCACTATTTATTAGGACTTGGAGGAATCTTTTGGGGGCCACAATTCAACCCCCTACAGTAGGTATTACTACTCTCCCCAGGTTGTAAAAGAGGGGACTGAGGTGGTCAGAAGTTAACCACCCTGGGCACCGCGCTAGCCAGTGGCAGAGCAAAAGTGACGTCTAGCTGTGTTGGACCCCACCGTCCATGCATGTCCCACTCTGTCCAGCTGCTGCCTCCTCTGTGCCCTCAGGAGGTCCCGAGCTTCCACGTCCTCATCTGTCACCTTGTAGCAATGACGACGATCATGATGATGATGGAGATAAAGGCTGTCACTTTGGAAGTGCGTGCTATGGCCGGGCCCTGTTCTGAGCCCCTTATAAGGACAAAACAAACCGCAGGACGTAGGTACTATTAGGAACTGTGTTCCACAGATGGGGATGCTCAGTTTTAGAGAGGCAAAGTGACTTGACCAAGGCCACACAGCGTCACAGAGCAGGGCCCACACCAGACCCAGGCAACGCCAAAGCCTGTGTCCTCAACCAGCCATCAGAGCTGCCTCTCAAGGGTGCCACTTCCCAGCTTCCGGAGGCTTCCTGGAGATGGTGTCCATGAATGGGCTCAATGGGCTTTGAGGTGTCATCCGAATGGGAGGCAGTCCAGTGTTTTCATGGCTGTTATTGTGGCCTCCCTGGTGCCACTGAGAACCCTCCTCCCTCTGGCTGGCAGAAGTCTGACCCACACCCAGGGAGACCCTAAGCCAGGCATGGCAGGTGTGGCTCCAGACCCCTTGGCGTCCAGGGGAAGTAACCCTCAGGCCTGGGCCATCACTGCCCCCACCCTGCCCCAGCTCCCAGCCCACCTTGGGTCTCCAGGGCCTGATGGGAATCTTCAAAGTCAGGGGGAAGGGCCTTGAGCTTTGGGGCTCATGGCCATGCCCAGGAGGGCAGCTGGTCTCACCGCCCTCTCCGCTCTTGTCTCCTGCCCCGCCCAGGCATCGTGCGCGCCTCCAGCGTCTTCCCCATCCTCAGCACCATCCTGCTCCTGCTGGGTGGGCTCTGCATCGGCGCCGGGAGGTTCTACAGCCGCAAGAACAACATCGTCCTCAGCGCCGGCATCCTCTTTGTGGCTGCAGGTGAGCCTCCCACCCTGGTCCGCGCTGCACAGAGCGCACATCCTGGTCGGGGGGCAGACCGTAAAATCGCTGTGCGTGATTAACTTCAAAAGTCCAGGTGTGTGGGGGTGGGGAGTGGGGAGCAACCGCTTAACAGGTACAGGGTCTCCTTTTGGGATGACAAAAGTGTTCTGGAACTAGATAGAGATGGTGGTTGCACAACATTGTGAGTGTACTAAATGCCACTGAATTGTGCACTTTATTTATTTTTTTTTATAATTTTATTTATTTATTTTCCCCCAAAGCCCCAGTAGATAGTTGTACGTCATAGCTGCACATCCTTCTAGTTGCTGTATGTGGGACGCGGCCGCAGCATGGCCGGAGAAGCGGTGCGTCGGTGCGCACCCGAGATCCGAACCCGCGCCGTCAGCAGCGGAGCTCAAGCACTTAACCACTAAGCCACGGGGCCGGCCCGTGAATTGTGCACTTTAAAGGGTTAATTTTATGTTAGGTGAATTTCACCTTGTAATTATGTCCAGGTGTGCAAAGTGCCACAAAGAGGTAGTGCTGGTGCCCTACAAGCTTGTAACAGGGAGCCTCGCCGAGTCGGGGGTCTGGGAGGTACCCAGAGGGACTCACGGAAGCCAAGACCTGACGGAATTGACCAGGTAAAGACAGGGTGAAGGAGTCCAGGGCTGCGAGGGTGCAGAAGAAGCCGAGAAGCCAGGTGTGCAGGGGCAGGGGGAGGGAAGGGGCTCGGGAGAGAGCAGGCCTGACTCTCCTGGCTGAGAGATGGACAGCAGCACCTCAGAGCTACCCCCACTGCAACCCAGTGAAAACCCACAGAGCCATGGGTGACAGTAATGCACCCCTTGCGTAACGGGTCCAAAATGGCTTAACACCATCACCCCTCTGAGCGTCGATGGAGACAACTCAGTGCATGTCTAGCCACTGCAGAGGTGGAAGAAATCCAGGCCGGAAGTGGGTCTCACAGCTGGTTAGTGGTCAGTGCATTTACACAGTCCAGCGGAAAATCTGGGTTTTCTGGCCTGGGTCACTGGGGGAGGGTGGAGAGGTTGCCTGCCCGGGCAAAGCTCAGCTGGTGCCAGCTTGAGGCTCCAGGCAGCACCTGTGGAGTTCAGATAAAGGTGCAACAGGGGTCCCTGTCAGGAGAACCAGGAGCCACCTGACTTCTTAGGCCTGCTTCCAGTAAATAAATGCAAGAAATGTTATGAAGCTCGGCAGTTCTTTCCTAAGTTCTTATCATAGCGCCTTGTACCATCCTCACAGTGTTTTTGCTTTCAAAGTGTCTTTTTTCTTAGACCAGACTGGTGTTGTAGAGCAGTGTGCTGGGGGCAGCCTTAGCTCCGCCCAGGCCCTGTCCCCTCTCTGCACCTGGTCTGCACATCCTAAAATGGTCCAGTAGTACCGTGATGGTGATAAAGAGAATTCCACTAACGCTGGTGGCCATGCCTCCTTTGCCGAGGACAGGGAAGGGCCTCCCGTGGTGCCCGACCCACATGGGTACCCACTGGTTATCCTCGTCCCCATCTCGTCTCCTCATGGTTTCTCTTGGAGAGGGAAGACGACTTCTGGTTACATCGTGAAACTGCAGGCCAAAGCAATTAAGGGACTGGCTCAAAATCTCGCGGCCACATCGGAGTGTGTGTCTGTGTCTGAGAAGTGTGGTGTGTATGGTCATGTGTGGTGTACTTGTGTGTCTGGGGAGTGTATGTGTGTGTGCTGGGAAGGGGAAGCTGGGTTTAGGGTCTCCTTCTGAAGGAGCACGAACCTCGTTCCTGGCCAGGTCCCCATCTCTTCCCTTCTTTCCTCTCCTCCCAGGACAGGGGCAGAGGTGGGAGGGCGGGGACACCCCCCGTTCTCTCTCCTCCTTGAAGCAGCCAGATTTCTCAAGGTGTGAACCATTAAAGAAGTCCCTGCTGTGCCATTTGAACACTGTCTCCTTTCCTTTCCTGAGGACGAGAAAGAAGATTCACGCTAACACCAGCCACCACGTATTAGGCACCGGCCACGGTGCCAGGTGCTCTGTGAGCACGACCGCATTACCCAGCTCCTGAGGAGGCAGTCAGGTGACTCAGTCCCATGAGGACAAAGACACGGGCTGTGCCCAGGGCGAGCAGCCTCCAAAGTAAGGTACCCCCTGCAGCTGCCTGCTCCCCCAGGAGGAGCCATTTCAAAGGTGTGTCCAGATGCTCCAGGTCACCAGAGGGGCTGGAGAGCCCGGGGCCCGGAGATGCTCAGCTGAAAACATGGGTCCAGGGGCCAGCATGGTGGCGTAGTGGTTAAGTTCGAGTGCTCTACTTGAGCGGCCCAGGGCTCATGGGTTCAGATCCCGGGCGCAAACCTACGCACCACTTATCAAGTGATGCTGTGCCGATGTCCCATATAAAGTAGAGGAAGATGGGCACGGGTGTTAGCCCAGGGCCAATCTTCCTCACAAAAACAAACAAACAAACATGGGTCCAGGCAGAGAGGAGAGGACGCGGTGGCGGCAAGGAGCAATGACGGCAGCAAACAAGGGGACGTTCGTTTGTTCCCATTTATTCCCTGCCTCATAGAGCTTTAATTGTGGGCCGACGCAGCGGCAGGCCCTGGGTCACATGTAGGCTCCAGCCAGCTCCAGCCCCAACGGAGAGGTGAGACTGGCCCATGAAGAATTCTAGGTGGAAAATGGTCAGAGCCTCAGGGGAGGTTTGGTTCAAAGGCTGGGAGAGTCGGAAGAAGACACAATAACTTCTCCTGGAAGATGTAATTAGTTGGGTCATGGTTTAAGGAACATTCTTATAATTTGCTGAATACAGGGTGGGGAAGGAAAGACAGAGCTAGGGAGGCGGAGAGAGAAGGGATGAGAGAGATGTCGGTGAAGGTCCTTCTGGAACTCAGCAGAAGGGCAAGGAATCAAAACCTACAACTGGTTTCCTCTGGGCAGGAAATATTCTAACCCATCCACACTGGGGTCGGTGCAGGAGGAAGATGAACAAAGGATGTGGGCGGTGCATAGACTTAACAATACAACACGGTAGGTTATAATAGAAGTTAAAGCACGCTCACTGTGTGCCGGGAGCCGTCGTAAGCACTTTGTATATATTAGCTCATTTAACCCTCACGTCTACCCTGTGAAGTGCTTGCCACTGTTATTCCCAGTTTACACATGAGGATACTGAGGCACAGGGAGGGGAGTAATCAGCCCAAAGTTCCACAGCTGATAGTTGGTAGAACCAGGATTCGAACCCAGGCAGTTCGGGCCTGCTTAACCTCTTATAATAAGAAAAAATCAAATAAACACAGCAGCCGGTGATTGTTTCACTTCCGAGATTGGCAAAGGTCCAGAAGTTTGATAATACAAATTATAGGCTGTTGAGACATTTTGTGCCCCTATGGAGGGCACTTGGGTGGTGACTGAGAATTCAAAACACTAAACACAATGTGGTGCCCGGATGGATCCTGGAACAGAGAAAGGACATGAGTGGAAACCTCAGTGAAATCCGAGTAAAGTCTGGAGGGTAGTGAAGAGAAATGTACCTGGGTTTCCTGGTTGTGACAAACGAACACGGTAATGTAAGATGTTAATAGGAGAAACCGGGGGCTTGGGGGGAGATAGGAAGGAACTCTCTGAAATAAAAGTTTATTTTTAAGTTTTTCAATGCACATACCCAGTGAAGCAGCAGTTTCACTTCAAGGAATTCAGCCCACAGTTGTACTCATGCACGTGTGGAATGCTATGGACACAGGATGGCTGTGGGCTGGAAGCCACCTGAATGTGCAGAGCAGAGGCCGGGTTAGATGTCCATGCAGTGGATGCCACATGCAGTTAGAAAGACAGAGACAGCTCTTCACGTCCTGGTACAGAACCGTCTCTCAGGGGGTCTGTTAAGTGAAAAGATAAGGGGACAAAGAGTGTTGTGGAAAGAAAAAAAAATAGGTATGTGTGTATGCATGTGTGTGAGAGAGAGGGAGAAAGACTGGATATAAGAAAGAAGATACCAGTAGCCATCTTCAGGAGGGGAACTGGGTAGCTCAAAGCATGTGTTTTATTGTATACCTCATCTGAACTTTGTACTTTATTGCCCATTCAAAATTAATTATTTAAAAGACAAGTTAGCAACCAGAATAAAGCAATACCCATCAAAGAGGGGAACAGCCACCAGCCCCTCCTCCTGACAGCCCACCTGTCTCCTGTCCAGCTACGGGTCTAACCCTCTGCCTCTCTCCCTCCCGCCCCCTCTCCTGCTTCCCTTTCAGGCCTCAGTAACATCATAGGCATCATCGTCTACATTTCCAGCAACACAGGCGACCCAAGCGACAAGCGCGACGAAGACAAAAAAAACCATTACAACTACGGCTGGTCTTTTTACTTTGGAGCCCTGTCTTTCATTGTGGCCGAGACCGTGGGCGTCCTGGCCGTAAACATTTACATTGAGAAAAATAAAGAGTTGAGATTTAAGACCAAACGGGAGTTCCTTAAGGCTCCCTCCTCGTCTCCCTACGCCAGGATGCCGAGCTACAGGTACCGGCGACGGCGCTCCAGGTCCAGCTCGAGGTCCACCGAGGCCTCGCCCTCCAGGGACACGTCTCCGGTGGGCCTGAAGATCACCGGGGCCATCCCCATGGGCGAGCTGTCCATGTACACGCTGTCCAGGGAGCCCCTCAAGGTGACCACCACCGCCAGCTACAGCCCCGACCAGGAGGCTGGCTTCCTGCAGGTGCACGACTTCTTCCCGCAGGACCTGAAGGAAGGCCTGCACGTCAGCATGCTGAACCGGCGGACGACCCCCGTGTGAGCCGCCCCTTCCTCTCCCCAGATGGCTGTGTGGATCCCACGGGAGGGCATCTGACCCTGTAGACGGGCCAACAATGGACTGCAGCCAAACCCAACCCTCCCTGGTCTCCAGAAAGTATCTCGGGCTGGCTTAGAGCGAAGCACCAGGAGACAGGAATCAGAAGTGGAAGGCTGACTTTATCTCCGAAAAGGGTGTTTTGAGGCCCCAGGGGTTCTGAAAATCTCCCAGGAGGCCCAAGAGCTGTGCTGAGGCTGCATGGCCTCCACCAACCCGGGGAAACAAAATTGAGCCATTATCTCTTCTTGGAAACCAATCTTGCCAGAAGGCCGGGCTTTCAGGGCCTTCCCTCCCTGCCTGGTCCCGGGCCACCAGGAGAGCTTCGCCGGGCACACGGGGGCCTTTGGACACTGGTCAGCTGCCTTTCCACCAGAGGTCCCGCATCTGTGAGCCGGAAACGAGGAAGCCGGAGCTCACCCCCTTCCTCTCTGTCTGTCTGTCTATCTCTCTCTGGCAGTGGCCTGTTGTTGAAATAACAGTGATCCTGAGGAGCAAGTCCTGCAGCCAACTGGTGCTTTGGCCTTTGTGCTGTCCTGGGGCCGCTTCCCTCAACCTGAGGAAACCAAGGCCTGTGGAGGAGTCCACACAGGGGGAGGCCTTCACTGGCCTGGGCATGAGGTAAAGGCCAGAGTCTGTTGCTGGCTTTCCTGTCTGCTTCTGGAAGTTTCTGCCTCACATGGAAAGAGCAGAACACACTGACTGTACTTGAGAGTCCAGAAGCACGAGTCAGAGGAAAGGTGGCCATGTGGCCTCTTGCTGTGTCCCTCCCCACTGGCCTGAGGAGCAGCTCTGTCCCTCCTGGGGGAGAGGAAGGGACAGACCCCTCCCCTCCACTGGTGTTTGGCTACAGGAGCCTGAACTTCTGTGCAAGAAAGGGAGACCCGAGGGTGAACAGCGACCAAAAAATCAGAACAAACATCCATTTCCTAGGTGGTCATTCATCATGATTATTTACTCCTGGCAAGTAAACGCCAGGAGAGCAAGTTCCATTCATTTCCTCATCTTAAGAAGTAGCAGCAACACCTCCCCCAACTCCAATTATTGGAATTTATTCTGCCAGCACCTGAAAGGGCTCAGTGGAGGAAGTCTGGATGAAAAGCCAAGCTGTGTTTTTCTTCCTCCTCACGAGAGGGACGTCTCAGCACTTTGGAACCAAGGAGGCGGGTTCCATGTTTGACATTTTTCCAACCATTTTTTCCACTCCCAAAGCAAGCAGGAAGGTGGAAGTGTGTCTGGGTTCAGAAGAACTTTCTGGAACATGGAACTTACCCTCTTTTATATAAAACATGTGCTTTCTAAAGACAAATCCTTTCTTACTTTTTGAGACTTGGCAATCCAATCTTGAGCAGTCGTCTGTGATCCCGGTAGCTGTCGTACTTAGAAGTGACAAGCAAATTCTTACCTCAGCCACCTGCTCATGGACCCCTGGGTGGACTTGGCCCCTGGGAGTTCATTTCCGGGTCACGGTCGTCACCATCCTCTTTCGCCCCCAGAGGGGAAATCTCCACATGTCCCACCTCCAACCGACTGCCCCGTGTGCTGGCGAGCTGAGGCGCGGTGTGCCAGGCCCCTTTGTGCTTGCTCGAAACCCTTTCCTTCCGTTGAGGTTGGCTTTGTGTGGTGGTTTGTCCAAGCATGTACAGCACTGAATGCTGGAGTGTCAGGGCTCGTGGCCTGCCCCTGCTGTGGGCCAACCCCACCCCGTCCTGCCCCCACCCCCGACCACTCTCACCCCTCCACACCATGATACCATCTGACCAGGCTAGAAGGAAGGGGGCGAAATCTGGGGCCCCATCACCCACCAAGGCCCCGAGACTTCTTCTGTCACTTCCAAAAGCAAGGCAGCCTTGCTCTTTCTTCCACATAAGCCACCTCCCCACCTCCTGCCCCAGAAGTTTCTATCATTTCATGGAGAAAGCTGTGTTCCAATGAATCCTACCTCTTGCCCGGTCCCAGGCAGAGAACGTGGGGCCCACTCTAGGGACCAAGAAAGAGTAGAAAGAAGCGACAAAAAGGGACAGAAGAGCAGGGAGCAGAACAGCCTCAGACCCCCTGGTCTTCACAGCCTTTCTCCCCACCACCACCCCAGGCTCCAGGCCCCTCATCGCTGGCTCACCCCCTCCTCCTCACCACATCCCAGCCGGGGCTTGCCAGGGAAGGGAGCAGAGCTGCCTCTCTGCCCCTGTCAGTCTGAGACTTTGCACCCACTGCGGGGATGTGGTGGCCTGTGCCCACCTCCTCACCATCTTCCCAACCCACCACCCTCTCCAACCAGCCCCTGTGTGTTTCGCCAGTTAAGCACCTGTGCATCCTGTACCTACTACTGGTTTGGGGTTGTTAGTTCTGTCTTTTTTTTTTATTAAATAAAAACATTTTTAAAATGTTCTCTTCTTGATGTGGGGGGAGGGGTAGAGCTCCCCTCAAGTCTTTGTGGACACTTAAACAGTGTCCTTGAGTCTGGGGGACGCTGTGGACCCTCCAGAAGAGGGAGGGAGGGTGGATTCTGTGCTGGTCAAGGCCGTTTTCTCTGGATTTGATCCGGGTCACTGTCCACCTCCCCAGCAGCACTGGCTGGTTTGAGACTTCTAGGTGGTGCTGTCAAGGTGCCTTTACGGATGGGCTGGAAGATGGACAGGCCAGTAGTCCCTATTCTGCGCTTCACTTGTGTTACTTAGAGTAGACTAACAACATAACCAACAACCCCAAACGTAGCCTGGCTCAATACAGTAGAGTTTTGTTGTTTTTTTTTTTTTTTTAAGATTTTATTTATTTTTATTATTTTTCCCACCAAAGCCCCAGTAGATAGTTGTATGTCATAGCTGCACATCCTTCTAGTTGCTGTATGTGGGACGCGGCCTCAGCATGGCAGGAGAAGCAGTGCGTCGGTGCGCACCCGGGATCCGAACCCGGGTCGCCAGCAGCGGAGTGCGCGCACTTAACCGCTAAGCCACGGGGCCGGCCCCGCATACAGTAGAGTTTATTTCTCACTCATGTCAAGTCCAATCAACTGGGCGGGCTGGGGGCGCTCTGCCCCACACAGTCATTCAGAGATTCGAGGCCCACGCTATGGGGGCTCTGTCATCTTCAACACAGGCTTCTAAGTTGCCCCTGCCATTGACACCCAGCGGGCCAATGGAGAAGAGAGAGAGTAGGTGATCTTGTGAATAGAGTCTCGTGGGAGGTTTTAATGGACCAGGAAATCGTGACTTTCCCTTCTACCCACATACCACTGGCCAGAACTCAATAACATGGTCACATCTCTAAGAGCCAGGGAAGACGGGAAATGTAGTCTAGCCCAGGAGGAAAGGAAAACAAGTTTGGGGAAGAGCTGGCCAGTCTCAGCTCCCTGGTCTGTCTTTCGGTACCTCCCTCTTTTGCCTCCCCTCCCCCCAGTCTTTTGGGAGTGCCTACTTGAAACTGACACCGGTGTCTGGGGTTGCATCCACCTCTGTGTGGGCTGAGCCCCTCCTTCAACTCCAACGTGATGTGTGACCTCTTCTCTGCTCCAGATGCCCCATCTGTAAAATGGGTCCATGATACCTTCTTCCTAGGTTGGAGAAGCAGGCTTGACCTCATGCCTCGACCCAAACAAGAACCACAGAATCACAGGATATCATAACCAGCAGGAGTGGCAGGTACCTTAGGAATTAATTATCTCATTTGATGTGCTCGTCACAGAAGAGAAATAAGCCCAAAGAGTGAGGGAGGGATGAAAGAAAGAATAAAAGGAAGGAAGGAAATATTTTTTTGAGGATTTTCATAACAACCATGAAAGGGAGACACTGCTAGCCCAATGGTTCTCGAGCAGGGGGTGATTTTGCTCCCTAGGGGATATTTTCCAATGTCCTGGAGACATTTTTGGTTGTCAGAACTTGTAGGGGGTTTGCTGCTGGCATCTAGTGGGTGGAGGCCAAAGAGGCTGCAAAACATCCTACAGTGCATAGGACAGCCCCCCACACCCCCAACAACGACCTGCTCCAAAATGTCAGTAACGCCAAAGCTGATTTTACAGTGAGGAAAACTTAGGCACAGAAAGGGTGAGGTCACTTGCGCAAGATCACAGCCAATTTTTGGTGCTTGTATCTAGGCTGTGGACATGTTAGGAAAACTCATTTGTTTATTCTCAGTATTTCCTTTCCCTACAACACATTTCAATTTCTGCCTTTCTCCTCTTCCCTTTTGAGCCAACAGTTTTGGAAATAGGAGCTGGGAGTTGAAGAAGGAAATGGGAAAATGGCCACCTGTCCCAGGGGGAGGTAGGTGGTGCCTTTGTCCCTGGGTTTGGGAGCAAAATGCTGATGGAATTCAACCAAATAGGCAGAGGAGAACGAGCCAGAAACGTGGCCCAGCTTGACACGGGGACTCACCGCTCTGTGGCTTCCTCCTCTGCCCACACCCAGCAGCTGCGGTGAGGTGGCCGAGAGCCAGTAAGACTGGGATCAAATCCTCCACTCACCCGAGGGCGGCACTGGGCAAGTCACTCGACCTCTCTCAGAGCCCAGTCCCCTCCTCCATCAAATGAGGAAGGTAACGCTTCCCTCCAGGGTTGTTGAGAGAGTGAATTAAACTTGAACTTACACAAGGAAACATTTGTAAATACCTCAGCTCAGCAACTGGCATCAGAGTGAGCTTTCAGGAGTGTTTGTTGACTAACAACACTCAAGGAGTGTCCCAAAATGGATTGTTCTAGAACAGCTCTTGGAGGCGGTGCTCTGATAGCCAGGCCCATAGGGTGTCCGCACCCACTGCACTTTGATTTGGGAGAAACTCATCATCCAGCGGATCTAGGTGCCGTGCCCACCCCAAGAGAGGGCTCCTGTCTCAGCTGCCTCTCTGGCTGAGGCCCATTCATTTCTACCCTCAGTGGCCCCTGGGCTGTGAGGTGGTAGTGGGCAAGGCTGCCACATGGCTGCTGCTTTCTTTGCAGGCCGTGGAGGCCCCCACACCCCACTGGGGCATTTCCAGTTCCACACAGGTGATGCAGGTTGCAAGAGCCCAGTCCTGACCACTCTCAAAGGTGCCCTGGGAGCCGGGCTTCTCAGGGAGGGTCCTCTTCTGGGTCCCTAGTGTGGAGTGAGCAAAGAGAGGCCTGGGGGGAGGGGAAGCAGATGGGAGGGGGAGGGGAGGCCTCCCTCCAGGGAGCTCGGATCCAGCCACGTGACTTAAGCTCCCTGCACTGGTTCCTAATATAGCACCCCTGGCTGCCCAGCCTAGAGATGAGGGGTTGGGGGAGGGATGGAAGGGGTTGCTCAGGGACCTAAGAATCCAGAGGAGGAGAGAGGGCAAATACACCTGATACAAGATATTTTT